CGCCTAAGTGACAAGATGATTATTTTTGTGTGAAACCGTAGCTCAATGAAATAAAATTTTGAAAAAAGATATGGAAACACAAATATTAAGATTTCATAAATGAACAAGGACAACACATTACTTTCTTTGCTATATCTCTGAAATCATTAATGAGAACTCACTGAAATTTGCTTGAAAATTTTTTAGGTAAACTGTACACAAGCTTGCAGTCCACTGCCGCAGCTAGAAGTCCAATCAGGAGTGTCGGGAAAGGCTCGTGTCAGTTTATTATGTCTTTTAAAAAAAAAAAAAATTTAGGTTGTATATGATTTTAATTTTTTGGTTTTGTCATGTAAGCAACACTTGTAAATATTTTTAGGATATGTATATTCTACATGGTAGCAGACTTGTGTGTCGCGCACATATGACCTTTCTCTAAAAAAAAAATGATCCTCAGATAAATATTTCTCGGATGTGTTTTCTTTAAGTGTCGTGTTATAATAATATTTATTAATACTAGGATTGCCTAAATTTTATTTTTATAATAATAGTATAGTGGGATTAGGGTGTTACACAATTGATTGTTAACTTGATAACATTGTTTATCAATTTGGTATTAATTTGATGAAATTGAATTTTAATAAATAAAATTGAAGGTGAATTTAATTAATCAAATTAACACTAAAATAACATTGAGTTCATTTAATTAACACTAAATTTATACAAATTAACATCAAAATTCATCCAATTCAAGTTCACCTAATTAATATTCAATCCACAAAATGTTTATAAAATTAACATTTAGTTTCATCCAATTAATATTCAATTCATCAAATTTAACTATTTCCCATTAAATTCATCATATCAACATCCAAATTAATCCAATTAATATTCAATTCATCAAATTAACACAAATTTAACATTTAGTGAATCCAATTTATATTTAATTCATACAATTAATATTCAATGTCATCAAATTAGCATTCAATGTATTAAATTAATATTCAATTTTAAATAATTAATATTTAATTCATCAAATTAACATCCAATATCATCCAATAAATATTAAATTCATCAAATTAATGAGAAATTAATATACAGTTCATCAAATTAATATAAAATTTATATTTAATATTAAAATACCAAAAAATATTTTTCTACATATTAAAATTCAAGTACATTAAATTTCATTTTTCTATATATTAAAATTTGAGCTGATTAAAATTCAGATTCGAGTGGATTAAAATTTTGAGCTCAACCTGAGCTACTAGCGCCTAGAACTAATTAAAATTCGATTCGATTCGAGTCAATTGAATTTGTATTTTTTTTACTTCTTAAAATTTGTGTTAATTAAAATTCGATTCAAGTTGATGAAAAATTATTTTTTACTTATTAAAATGTTAATAAATAAAAAATAACTTGATGTTTGTCTGTTGACAAAATTTGGTTACTAAATTAATGTTTCATTAGTAAAATTGGCGGTCAGGTTGGTATTAATTTTATGAAATTAAATTTTAATAAATAAAAATTGGAGGTGAATTTTATATTAATTTTAGTGAAAGTGAATTTTTAATTAGTGAAATTGAATGTTTATTTCTTGTTAAATTTTAAATTTTATTTTGAATTGACGAAAGTTTTAATTGGTGAAATTAAATTTTATAAATGTTTATGATCTATCATAAAAACTTGAGATCTATCACAAGATTACAGTAGTCTCCCCCAAAAGTGGTTTCTTTGGAGATTGTGATCGATCATAGAGTGAAACGATAAATCATTGTACTTCATGACAAATTAGTTTTTTTAAGAAGAAAAATTGCGATCGATCCTATGTTTTTATGATAGATCATGGCTCTATATTTTTTGTGATCTATCACAAAGGTTTAGAATATACCTTAAAATGTTAAAAGAATGTTTGTGACGGATCACAAGTATCCTTGACTTAATTTTTTTGAAAAATCGTAAGTTTGGGATCAATCACAATTGTCTATGATCGATCACAAGGTTACTAGAGTGAGATTTAGCAAAACTGTGGGCAATTTACCATATTTAAGAGCAGATTTATCACCTTTGAGGGTAAGTTTACAATAATTGTGGATAAATTTACAAGTTTAGAGGTTAATTTACGACTAATTTAATTAATATTGCCACTGTTTTGGTAAATGTTAAATTATGAGTAACATTACGAGGATTAAGGGTAAGTTTACAACAAAAAAAGGTTAAGTTAAAACTATGATGAATAAATTTACCGCAATTGGGGGATTATGACATCAAAGGGAACATTTACTATAATTCAGGATTAAATACAATAATTATGTAAAATTTTCACTATTGTTGTAAATTTTTCATTAATATTATAAATTTTTCATTGATGTTGTAATTTTGTTCACTACTGTGGTAATTTTTTCCACAAATATTGTAAAGTTAGAATAATTGTGGTGAAGGTTATTAGTATATAGACAAGTTTTATTTTTATTTTTGTTAATATTATGAGAACCGTGGATAATAATACAAACTTAAAAGTAAATTTACAACATCAATGGGATGCACTAGTGTTATATTTATGACAAATATGGTTAAAAGTGCCAATTGTACTTTTACCACCATATTGATTAAAGTTTGTCTACTACTGTTGTAATTTACCCACTGTTGTTGTAAAGTTTTTCACTGATGCTATAAATTTTTCATTGATGTTGTAAATTTGTCCACTACTGTTGTAAATTTTTCTACTGATGTTGTAATTTTTTCACTGATCGATCAGTCAATATTAGTGATTGATCACAAACCCATAAAATATAGTTTTGGTACTTCAAATGGTGGTAAAAGTTTGCCCACTATTGTAGTTAGGGGTGTTCATGGGTCGGGCAAGGCTAGACCCGCGACATTTCTTTTCGGGTCGGGCTGGGTAGTATAGGCCCAAGCCCTTACCCAAGTGAGTTATCGGGTGGGCCGGGTCGGGTTTCGAGTAGAGGTAAGCTACCTGCAGCCCAACCCGTAAGCCTATTGGGTAGGCATGTGGGAGTACTTGCTGGGCGGGCCTGCTTATAGGATTTTTTATATACATTTTTTTTTTTAAATAATGAATATTTTTGTAACTTAATATTTGTGTAAATTATATTTTTGAATCAAAAGTAAAGTCAAAATAGATAAAAATAAAATAATGAATTACATCCAATAGAATAAATAAATCCCAACTAAGTTGACGCCTACTAACTTATCTGTGATTTGCATTAATCTACTATTTAAAACTTATATGCTTAATAAATGGAAAAAAAAATTAATACATTATTCATAATATCTAAATTTTTAAAACTTCAAATTTCAATATTAGGAAACTTATTTCAAAATTTCAAATTTAATGGACTAAAAATATAACTTTTTCAAATTTGATGGCGGGCTCTTGGATCGAGTAATGTGTTTGACGGCAAATTCAAGCCCTCTTTTTAAGGAAATTGGGCTCGGGCTCGAGTTTGGGCAGGCCAACTGTCGGGCTTATCGGGCTTCAGGCCGAGTAATGAGACTCGTGGGTAACCTAGCCCATGAACACCCCTAATTGTAATAATTATACCAATTACTATAATAAATTGTTCATTGATGTTGTAATTTTACCTACTATTGTTGTAAAATTTTCACTAATATTATAATTTTTTTCACTATTGTGATAATTTTGTTCACTACTGTCGTAATTTTTTCACTAATATTACAATTTTGTTTACTATAGTCGTAAACTTTCCACTGATGTTGTAATGTTGTCCTTCTTTAGTAGTTTTTTGGTATGATACCGAAATATTCCATTCGGATACCGCTCCACAAAAGTATAGTACCTACTTTTAAACTTCTCTTAATAATATTATTTAATTTTTGTTTTAAATAAGTTATTTGGGTCCCACAAGTTAACTACAAAACTACTATACGACTGTGGACATCAAACCAAATATATCTAAAATTTAAGATAATTATAAATATATTTAAAAAATAAAAAAATAAATTTTTTACAAGCGTCAGATTTATATTAAACAACAAAAAGTGAAAACATGAGGCTTTGTTTTTTGGTTAATTGCGCAGGGGAGCGTTGGGAGGTGTCTGAAGTTTGTTTCATTTTGGTTCTCATTATTTCAATTACATCATTTTAATCTCTGAAGTATTAAATATATTTTTATATGATCACTTAAACAGATATCGTCTAAATTACTAACAATTTTTTATCATAAACTTATCACATGATACTTAAATACAAACAAAAAAAATAATTTGGATAACTCTTGACCAAATTTTTACTCAAATTTTTGATAAATAGCTATTTAAATTATACAATTTTGATCATAAATTATCCCAATTGTGGTAAAAAAAAATTCATATTACATATTTTTTGTTAAGAACTACCCAAATTTTGTTTAAAAGCTTACAAAATTATTTTTTGTCTATACTTAGGTATTACATAATAAGTTTATGATAAAAAATTGTTAATAATCTAAACGTTGTCTGCTTGAAGAAACATATAAAAATATATTTAATATTTTAAAGACCAAAATAATATAATTAAAACATTAAAGATAAAAATAAGATAAACTTTAAGTATCTTTAATGCAATTAACCCTTTCAAGTTGTCAAAGTGGGTCACACTAGCTTACACTATTTGTCTCTCTCTGGGAAGGAATATAATGACGTGGTTAGGCTTGTCAAGCCGTATTATAGGAATGCGATGCCTTGGTCAATGGGGTTAGGGGTGGTAACGATTTCATTTGATAATAATTAATTCAACAATAATAAATTTTTCAAAAGGGCATTTACTTTTTAGCTTTGTGCTTATCGATCTGCTATAAGTAAAATTTTCCGGCCATCAGAGCTTCAGATCTCTCTCTCTTTCTCTCTCACTCTCTTGTTTCTAGCTCCTACTCTCACAAACCTCTATTGCCATTTCCATCCTTCTCTTCCTCAAGAGACTCAATCTCTGGTCAATAGTTCCCTATTTATCTCTCAAAGTCTCTGTCCAGAGACAGTTTTTGTTCCCCAAGTGTCCTCAAATGGAGTCCCAAAATGTGTGCTTTCAAAAATTTCTGTCAGATAGGGATGTCCATGGCAATCTGGAAATTCCCAACAGGGCAGATTATTTGCCGGAAGGAAATGAGGTCATGCGTGTAACTGACCGACACGGAACCACATACGAATTCATAGCCTCTGTAAGGGCAAGTGGGAGGCGTTCTCTGACACGCCACTGGCACACTTTTGCAGTGGAAAAGGGTCTTCGAACCGGTGAGTTGCTACGGATTTATCGGTTAGGAAATGGGAATGATTATGCCGTTCAGGTTGGCCTGGAATTTCATGGACTGTACATAGTCTGGGAAACTATGTAAACGTGCCACTGTAAAATTCTGTGGTTGGATATCACAAAAATGATGCCAAACTTTTCGTTTTCATGAAGAAGCATATGGGTTAGATGTAGATTCAAGTTTAATGCCGGCGACTAGTTTCTGTATATATTTCTTGTGAAAAAGCTGAAAATCATGTAAAATGTATGGATTTAAGTTTGAATCAAGGTCCAAATAGCATTACTCTCTTCCTTTATCTTCGAGCAGCATGGATGGAACCATCACATCCCTAAAGGTCATAAATGGAGCTTCATATATATATTGTATGGATATGAAATGCCGGCGATCAGTTCGTGCATGAGTTTTTCTTTGGATCAAAACCCATCTGAATTAGCTTCTTCTTCAGATGATTGTTCCAGAAATTCAAACCTTTGTAGTTTGTACAAATCAGAAAATATTGTAGTTACGGATAATACTGTTAGAAAATAATCAGAAAATTTCCGCTTAAACTATTATAGTTTTGTTGGGAATCTGAGAGTTACGGGTCATTATAGTATTGCTTTAGGCTGGGCCTTATATTTGAGATCAATTGAAAAATATAAGAATGAATGAATGCAATGTCATTTATACTGTGTTTTTGGACTGTCAATGTGACAGTTTGACTTCTATCGATAATCTGTCTATTCCGGACTTATGTAGGATAAAACTGACCATTTTGAATAGGTACTAACTTTATTTTTCCCATGTACTTAAATAATGAATGAATAACATTGGCAGGATTGTCAACGTCCTCTCTTTCTAATTCCAACTTTCATCAACTTATAACAATAGTCTCAATCAACCTAAATGTAACCAAAATATCATGTGACTCCTTGTCCACATTAATTGAAACGAAAATTGTTAAATAATCAGTATAAATTGTTTGAGAAGAATCCTCAATATTAAGAAAATATTTGATGTAATGGTTACATTATGTCAACAATGATATGTGGTGTAACCGTCTACTAATAAGTAAATAAATAAGTAAATAAGTCCCACAAAATTAAATAATCACTCATACATGTAATATGTAACCACCTTCATATTAGACAATATAATTCACTCTATCTATTTTTTAATTTTATAATTAGACGGTTATACCACGCGGTAATACTGACATAGTATAATCATTAAACCCAATAATTACTCATATATATATATATATAT